TATATTCCACTTCAATATCAAAATGAAAATGGTTATAATAAATACTTCCTGCCACACCATTGTGTCCTGAGAGATGAAAGTACTAGTACAAGGTTGAGAGTGGTGTTTGATGCTTCAATGAAGACCTCCAGCGGAGTTTCGTTAAATGATATAATGTTCAAAGGGTTTTCCGTGCAACCTGAGTTGTTTGACATTCTGGTTCGATTCCGAAGTTCAAGATATGTACTAACTTGTGACATCGTAAAAATGTTCCGTAAGATTTTTGTTTCTCCAGAGCAAACTTTTCTGCAGAATATCTTGTGGCGCGATAATTCCAATGATCCTCTTAGGTGTATAGAGCTCCTTACAGTAACGTATGGTACTAACAGTGCTCCATTCTTGGCTACTCGTACAATAAAGGATCTTGCAATTCGAAACAAGGAAAAATTTCCATTAGCTGCTAATGCAGTTCTTCAGCAGTGCTACGTTGATGACATCCTCGCAACAATTGGTTCTTATGAAAATCTAAAGGAGACTCACAGACAGCTAATTTCACTTTTTAACTCCGCTAATATTGAGCTTCATAAATGGTCATCCAACAGTAGTAAATTTTTGAAGTCCAGTATTCACAACAACACTCAAGAGGTGTATAATATTAAATCTGAAGGTTGTTCAAGTAAGGTTTTGGGTATTGCATGGGATCCCACCAGTGACCAATTTACAATTACTCTTCCGAAGAAAGCAGAGAAAGGTCATACTACCAAAAGGCACATTCTCTCTCAGATTGCTCAACTTTTCGATCCATTAGGACTCGTTGCTCCCGTTATTATCTTGGCAAAAATTTTCATGCAGAAGATCTGGATTTCTAAAATTGACTGGGATGAAAACCTCACCCCTGAGCTTCTTTCAGAATGGGTACAATTTGAAAATTCCCAGATGTATATTTTCTTCAGGTCAGTTTTATAGAGCCGAACTGCATGGGTTCTGCGACGCAAGTCTGAAGGCCTATGGTGCTGCAATCTATGTTCGAGCATTGTATCCAGATGGTACTGTTTCTTGTAATTTGGTAACATCTAAGAGTCGGGTAGCACCAATTAAAACAATCACCCTACCTCGTCTTGAGCTCTGTGGAGCACTCCTCCTAGCTAACCTAACGTCAAAGATTCTTTCAGTTCTAAGTAATGAGACCTCCTTTCATAGTGTAAATCTTTATACCGATTCTCAGATAGTATTGTGTTGGATAAATTCTCATTCTTCCAGATGGTCTATTTTCGTATCAAATCGAGTTTCAGAAATTCAACGACTAACGTCGGGCTTTCATTGGAGACATATTTCTTCGTCAAACAATCCTGCTGATCTTCTTTCTAGAGGGATGACTCCAAATGAGATTCTACATTCAGAGTTCTGGTTCAATGGTCCAAATTTCCTAAGAAATACTGAATTAAATCTTAAGGATTTTGATTTCACAGGGACCTCATTCATAAATATTCCAGAAGAAAGAAAGGTGAAAACTGTACTCCATTTTATCAGAGGGGATCCAAATACAGAATTTTGGAATTCAATCTTCTCCAGGTACTCTTCCTTTTTGAAACTACAGAGAGTTATTGCGTCATGTTTACGGTTTGTTAATAACGCTCATCCGAAACGTTCCAAATTTGTTGGTCCACTTAAGGTTGATGAAATTCAAGGAGCTTTGTTACTCATTGTGAAAATTCTTCAAGAGCAAAATTTCGTTCAAGAGTTACGCGAGTTAAGGTCCAATAAGGTAATTTCCAATAAGGTTCTTCTTAGATTATCTCCTTTTATAGACAATTCTGGACTCCTGAGAGTGGGAGGTAGGTTGGCATATGCGGACTTGCCTTATGAACAAAGGCATCCGTTGCTACTTCCATCCAAAAATCTAGTTGTTTCATTAATGCTAAGGGAGGAACATCTGAAACTTTCCCATGCAGGTGCGCAGACGGTTCTTTCCAACTTTCGCTTAAGATTCTGGCCTCTTGGAGGCCTAACAGAAATTAAACGGATAATTCGTAAGTGCGTCATATGTTATAGATTCAAGGCACAATCCTGCCAACAAATAATGGCTAATCTTCCGATAATTCGCACGCAACCCTTTAGACCATTTTCCAAGGTGGGGGTAGATTTAGGAGGCCCATTCTTTACTAAGTCTTCTAAAATGAAAAGAGCTTCCCTAAATAAATCTTACATCTGTGTGTTCGTTTGTATGGTCACCAAGGCTGTACATATAGAACTAGTTTCGAATCTTTCTACAGATGCATTCATTATGACACTTAAGAGATTTATTTCCCGCAGAGGTTGTCCTTCAGTGATATATAGTGACAATCCCACAAATTTCTTAGGTTCCCGCAATCAACTAAAGGAAGTGTATGATTTCTTCAGAAATGAACAAATTTCTGCGTCCATAGAAAATTTCCTTGTTACTAGAGAGATTAATTGGAAGTTTATTCCACCGAAGAGTCCACATCATGGCGGCTTATGGGAGGCAGCCATAAAGAGTACTAAATATTATTTGCAACGAATAGCTGGCAATTCTCATTTTACATTCGAAGAGCTTACCACCATTCTTACACAAATAGAAGCCATTCTAAATTCGCGACCGCTTCAACCAATTTCTACTGACTCTAGTGACTGTACGTGTCTAACACCTGGTCATTTTCTAATCGGAAATAGCTTAACGTCCTTTCCAGATAAAGATGTGTCTGACATTGCTGAAAATAGACTTTCGCGGTATGAACGTTGTACTCAAGCTCAACAGGTTTTTTGGAAACGATGGTCCAAGGAGTATCTTAATTTGCTTCAAAACAAACCGAAGTGGCTACGTCCCATTCGAAACTTAAAGGTCAACGACGTAGTCTTATTTAAGGAAGACAACCTGAAACCCCTAGAATGGCCACTAGCCAGAGTAATAGAGATATTCCCAAGTCTTGACGGTAAGGTGCGAACAGTCAAAATTAAAACTAAAAATGCTACATACATCAGAAGCATTACCAAGGTATGTCTCCTACCAAATGATGAAAATGAGCTTGCTCATTAAATTAGTTTGAAAGCAAGGCTTTCAACGCGGGGCAGGATGTTCGGGAAAACCGAACAAATAAATAAATTCAAATGTTAGACGCCAGGCACGCTGGCAACCCGTGTTACACGGTTGAGGTTATGAGAAAAGGCAAGAAGGGGGAAGCGTCTCCCGCTTGCTGGCAATTAATCGTTTTCATTGAGTTTTCCTTCGATGTTGTTGTGAAAGGATTTATTAATTTTTCTATTCGTAGAGTGAAATCTCGTTCCTGCTTTACGTTAAACGTGTGTTGTACAAAAGGTGATTATAATTTTGGTTATAAACGCAAGGCATACCATGTTGGCGATAATTAGGTCACGTCATTAAAGTGCTTGCGAAAACCTTTTGGACTTTGAATTACCCGAATGTTGCAACCTCAACATTATGTATGATATTATTAGGCAATTACATGCGATGAAATATTAGAAAATTATTGTAGTTTTTTGGTAATTTCGTGAAGATGTTTAAACATCATTAAGCAAAAATATATCGAAAAAATAATCTGTACTTATCCGCATTATTATTGTTTCTTTTACTTTTTCATTAATTATAATACTTTAGGAAGGGAAGTAATTTATGTAGTAATAAATATTTTTAATATCACATGTGATATTCACTTGAATTATTATTTTTTAAATAAACGATATTTTATTCTTTATACTTTTCTTTTATTTCATTTCTTATCGTCACTTTATGTTCTTAAAAGAAATAAAAAGGAATCTGTAAACAATACCGAATTTGTTTGACAGATTGTGTAGACTTATGTTTTACATTTCTTGTGTTAAACTCGAAAAACTTATTATGTTACATAAAACGAATATAAAAAACTTACTTGTTAAATTGAAATTTATGTCTAAATGAAGTATTTTCTTGGATGACTCGACGAATACTTACAAAGTTTCAATGATCGTTTATTTAATAAAATTGTCTCTTTTTTTTATAATTGATGAATGATATTCTTCATAACTAAGTTGTCGGTAGTGATTTATTGTCCACCTAGAAATATATAATAATTTATAAATTTTCATTGAGAGAAATAAATGGAAAATTTTACATTCAAAAAGAAATATTAGAAAATTAAAATTTAAAAAACTTGAATAATTTAAAAAATACATAAATAAATGAAACACATTAAAACACTAATATTTCATATTAAGAATAATAATATAAATATTAAAAGAAAATTAAGATTAATTATCATGTTTTCATTCATTCATTTAAATATATATATTTTTTAATTATTTCTTTTTATTTAGATGATATAAGCCTTTGTAAAATAGTGATGATAATTTTTTGGATGAAATTATCAGTTGGTCCATGTTCAATAACTGATTGAAGGCATTCCTTATAGGGAAATTGTTAATGATGGTTTGTTTTTTATCTGCAGGATTATAACATGAAAAAAATTTACCGTCAAAAAAGTAAATAAAATATTTTAAATTTATCATGCAATTTTAGTAAATAAATTGAAAATCGTCTATTTGAAATACTTACACATATATATGATTCATTTAAATGTTGACAAAAACAATAAAACTAACTTGAATTGTGTAAATAATTTTAAAAGATTATATGAAAAGTTAATTTTATACCAAATATCAATTACGACTTATAATTTGAACATGATAAAACTTTACCTGTGTTTATATCCATTTATCCGAATAATATTTTACTTGGATAATTTTTTTTCCAAATTGGCAATGATGGTTTTTATTTAAATTTCTTATGATAATTTCTCTAGAAATTATCAGAAGTCGTTTTATTGATAACTCATTGATGATAATTTTTGCTGTTAAACTACCCTCTTCTAAGCGGTTCTTCAATGGTCTAATTTGTTACCTGGGACGTCAGCTTTTTTTTTTAGGGGATAGTGAAACATCTAGTTCTTGTATCAATTCTCTTTCTGCAAATTTTTTAAATCCTGTAACCATAGGAAACAAAACGATTATGAATTAGAGGTTATGAAAAATAATAAGGCATAAAAATTAAAAATGTTATATTAAATACCTTTAATTTAAAAATTCGTCGACATGTACCCATTTTGACATTTTCTACGTTTAACTGTGTTCGCGTTTACCATAGTTTGAAACTCGGATGGGCATTGTAAAACCGCATCAAATAATCCTACAACTGTTGATGACGTCATAAATTTAAAATTGTCATTATTAATATTAGAATTAAGATTATGTATTATTATTGTTGAGGCATTACAATTTTTGTTAATTTCATCATGATGTTTAGATATTTTATTGGAAAATATATTTAAAAGTAATTTGTAAACTTTTACATTATTTTCTTAAAGAAGTAAAAAGGAATCTGTAATTTCGAAATTGCTTGATAAATGGCGTAGATTTACGCTTTGTATATATTTGTTTTTCAGCTTGAAAATATAGGATACTATGTAAAATAATTATTGATTTTAATTTGATATATTTTATAAAATAAATATTAAAGACTTACTTGTTAAATTAAAATTTCTTTATCCAAATAATGTATTTAATTTAATAAAATAATGTATTGTATCAATTATTTGTCGCAAATTCTCAAATTCTATAATCATCACAAATGAAATAAAAATAAATTAGAGGTTATAAAAAATAAAATCACATAAAATTTAAAGATTCTATATTAAATACCTGTTATCTGTAAAGTGTATTTATGTCATCAACGATAATATTTTAAAAATTTCATAAATTACACGATTATATACGACCAAATATTAGAAAAATATTGTATCTTCATTTACATTTAATGAAAACTATTTTAGTCAAAATGAAAATATTCTTTATGATAAAACATCTGGTTTTTGTATTGCATTAATTATTTTTCCACAAATTCTTAAATCCTGCAACCATCGGAGACAAAACAATAATAAATTAGGGATTATGGAAATTATTATCACATAAAAATTAAGATTGTTATATTAAATACCTTTTATGTTTCTTTATGAAATAAATTCCAGTAATACGTTCTTTATGCGATCATCAACGATATTTTAAGAATCTTGAAATTTATAGACATGTATGTTTTCTTACCATCATTTGACTGTAGCTGAGTCTATCATAATTTCTAATAATTTGGATGGTGATTTAAGGTAAAAATAACTAAATTTCATTACATTAGATAACAATTTTTAATTAATATAACTTTATGAGACACATTTATTTACCTTTGATTCAAACCATCTCAGTTGAAATGTAACGATTTTTCATGATGATAGTTCCTTGTTTGTATTAATTTTGGAGTTTCATATTTACTGAAAATAAAAAACAATAAATTAAAAGACCTGAAAAACAAAAGTATATTCAAAGTTATTATTTTATGAAATTCATTTTAAAATGTATCTTTAATAACTAATCAATGGTAATCCTTATATATTCATTGATAAATTAAAACAATGTTCAATTTTCTTTCTTTCATTATTATAAATTACTAACAATTAAATTTCAGACAAATAATAATCTTAATATGGCAATCAATAATTAATATTTTCATCAGCAAAAATGTATAATCGAAATTTTCCAGTAAATGAAATTTAAAATTGTAAAACTCTACTAAACACAAAAATTCAATCTAAAAATGATAAATATTTTTAAACATGATTTAATCATTCACCTGATATTTCCTTGATATAAAAGTAACTACAATTCTTTCAATGAAACAGTAATTTTCAGTCGACAAAATTTTATAAATTATCTTTACCCATATCCAATTGCATAAAAAGGGAGAAAGCCTCGTATTTTCTGCTTACCGAGTGCTTTGCTTTAACATGAGCAAGATTGGGAGTCTTCGGAATGACCCTGATCGATCGGGATTCAGTGCATGGTATTACTAGACTAAAGAAGTTGCTAACCTTCTATAGAAAGGGTGGCATTTTGGACGTTCTCTAGAGCGGTCTGGTGGCCTAAATGCTTGGACGCCCACGAGCGCCTCCCTTCAATATCAATACCAATATCCATATCCGATAAAAATCATTTTAAACGAATTATAATGATTCTTGACAATGAAACTTTTAAAAGTTGTGTAGTATCAATATATACTTTATAATTTATCTTGTTCATATTCTATATAATTCCATTTTAGAGTAAATTGTGGAAGCTTTCTATAACTGAAAACAAAGAGGTTAGAAACAGTAAATTAAATTTCAGTCAAATAATAATCTTAATATGGCAATCAAAAATTAATATTTTCATCAGCAAAAATGTATAATCGAAATTTTCCAGTAAATGAAATTTAAAATTGTAAAACTCTACTAAACATAAAAATTCAATCTAAAAATGATAAATATTTTTAAACATGATTTAATCATTCACCTGATATTTCCTTAATATAAAAGGAACTACAATTCTTTCAATGAAACAGTAATTTTCAGTCACAAAATTTATAAATTATCTTTACCCATATCCGATTGCATAAAAAGGGAGAAAGCCTCATATTTTCTGCTTACCGAGTGCTTTGCTTTAACATGAGCAAAATTGGGAGTTTTCGGAACGACCCTGATCGATCGGGATTCAGCGCATGGTATTACTAGACTAAAGAAGTTGCTAACCTTCTATAGAAAGGGTGGCATTTTGGACGTTCTCTAGAGCGGTCTGGTGGCCTAAATGCTTGGACGCCCACGAGCGCCTCCCTTCAATATCAACACCAATATCCATATCCGATAAAAATCATTTTAAACGAATTATAATGATTCTTGACAATGAAACTTTTAAAAGTTGTGTAATATCAATATATACTTTATAATTTATCTTGTTCATATTCTATATAATTCCATTTTAGGGTAAATTGTGGAATCTTTCTATAACTGAAAAACAAATAGAGGTTAGAAACAGTAATATAAACAATAAGTTTAAACATTACATATCTTTCATTTATTATAGAATATATTAGTTTCTATTTAAAAAACAATCTTCGAGATATATTCTTTATACAATAGAAGATATCTTTGCTGAAATTTAACATGTTTCCAAAATTTTCTATGGTTGGTGTTTGCAAATTGACGTTTTACCATAGATGTATCTCTTATAGATTCTTTATGTATTCTAAGGTTATAATGCATTGAATAATCTCTCAACTATTAATGACATCACAAATCCTCAACATGCCTCAAGAGTAATAGAAACACACATATTCATTGCGACCTAATAATAAAAAATATTTGTAAAAATTAGGCTTATGTTAGTCTTTTTTATATTCTAATGTAAAATGTATATGTATTTTTTTTTCACTTCCGAGTCAACAGGTTTTGTTCTAGTTGTTGTTGTTGTTTGGCGGAGTGTATGTGTGTCTAAATAAAAAAAACACTAAAGATTTTTTTTATTTACATCAACATCGATAATATTTTTAAAATTAAAAAAAAAAACTATGGAATTGATGCGGGCAGAGAGGATGCTAAACTTGCAAAATGTTTAAGTTTTTTTCTGCATTCGTCGGAGTGAAGGCGCGCCACTTGTAACTCGCTCTGCAGCAGGGCAATTTTAGTTTCAGTCTCTTTGATCCGGTCCTCGTTTCGCACCAGCTGCGACTCTAAAACCATTTTCAACTGGAACGCTTCGCATACCAGCCTTCTTTCTTCGTCGTCGATAAACGTATCGAACCAACCGGAGGAGGAGAAGGATAAGCCGGTATGCTGCTGCTGCTGCTGCTGAACCGTTTCTTCGCTTTTTCTTTTTTTTTGTGAGGCTTTGGGGGTGTCGTCGCACTACGACATGTTTACGCAGGTTGAAGCTTTACACTGTGCCCATTCACGGCCTAAAAGGCATGACCAGTCAAACTTCAAAAGGATTAACTCGATGCACCATTAAATCACAAAATCAAGCAACTCCTCTACTTTCGTTCGATGCCATTGTCGTACCACAGCTATGTACTGACAGACCTGCAATCCAATAACGCTGGCAGAGAAAATTTAAAAAATCTGGAGTTGGCTGACCGCAATTACCATATTCCCGGTGTTGTAGATCTTGTAATTGGCGATTAACTGGTCAAATCCTACTCGCTGGACGCATCCCAGGTGCGTCCGGTCATCCATCTGCTTTAGAAACTAATAGGAAAGGTACAAAACTCGTTGAATAATTTGTCGACTGTTACGTCATGTTGCAACAGTATTGGCTTAGATACTTATTTTCTGAAATTCTGGGAAGTAGAAAGCATACCGACTAAGCATCCCGCTTCCCCGGAGGACGAAAGGTGTGAGACTATTTTCGCAAATACGACCCGCAGGAACAAGAGTGGTAGATTTATCGCATCCCTACCCTTTAAACACCCAGAATCTTAGCTTGTTGTCGCTGGAAAAGCGTCTTTCTCGAAACCCAGAGCTCTATTCTATGTATCTCGACTTTATGCGCGATTACCTGGAAGATATTTATAAAGGTTCTTGGATTACAATGGAGCCCCATCTCCGATGCTTTTTCATACCATTGCCTACCTGGCCTTGCATGTAGATGAATAAAGGGACATCCATGCCCACATAACCTCACTTTTGGCTTCCCGGCCGCGGGCCCACCGCCCACGGGTCTTCTTCCTTCACACTGGACCTATTGGCCACCCGCCCATGTGCTTCTTCTTTTTGTGTTCTGGCCGTTCGTCCATAGGTCACTCGCCCATTAACCATACGCCCTAACCTTACCAAACCGTCGTCAGTGGTGCCAACCAAAACGTTGTCTTTGTCCGTTCGCCAGCGTGCCGTTCGGGGACCCCACCGGCAGCCCCCCCGCCATCTCGAGGGGGCTGCCGTGAAAACCCGTCCGTCGTTGAACGGTCACTTTAATGCCGAGCTAATTATGTACCGTCGGTTCCGTCCCGTTGCTGCTAGATGTCGCGCGCGCCGTTCGGGGGCCCGATCGTTGTCAGTGGTGCCAATTTAACCAAACCGTGGTGCCAACCTAACCGTGGTGCCAACCGTCGTCCGTGGTGCCAACCAAACCGTTGTTAGTGGTGCCAACCAAGTGACGCAAACGTCACCGGCAGAGAGGCGTACGTGCCGAAGGCGCGGGGGACAGGAAATAGATAAGAATATCCGTTGATAATGCTATTAATAAAACATCCGGAACACACAATAACATTTCAGTTTAATAATGAACGTCACACCGCCGAGAAATTATTTCGTCTACTCCAAAAAAATCGTGTGTTCAAAGTGTAATTACGCGCGCAAATACAAATATCAGCTACAACCGTATTGGATAAACAAAGTAAAACTCCTTGACGTGTGTCCAAAGTGTACCCATCCTACAGTGCATCTTGTGAGATACGACACCCGTCATTACTACTAAAATGACAACCAAAAAACGCGTATTCACCTGTTTTATAAATGGTGATGATATGAAAGAAAAACTGGAAGCAATGCAAGGCCAGGTAGCCTGGTACATCGGCCAACAAGAAACAGGTAGGCTTTCGCAATGAATTTTACGCGAACTATTGAGGACGCTCAAAATTTAATTTTCGCTTTTCGTCAAGTGAACAAGGAGCGAACGGAGGTTAAACCGCCGCGTGAAATGCTCCACCACAGAATCATCTCGGTGTCTTCTACGTCTCTTCTTCGTTTCGAATGTGGTTGTATCTACCATAGATTCAAATTCGGAAGGGCACTGCAGAACCGTATTAGATAACGTCGCAACTGTCAATGACGTCACAAATTTCACGTTTCAATTAAAATATGTCATATTGGTAATTTCACGAATTAGTCAATTGTGATATTATGTATGATATTATTAGGCAATTACATGCGATGAAATATTAGAAAATTATTGTAGTTTTTTGGTAATTTCGTTAAGATGTTTAAACATCATTATGCAAAAATATATCGAAAAAATATATTTAAAAACAATCTGTACTTATCCGCATTATTATTGTTTCTTTTACTTTTTCCTTAATTATAATACTTTAGGAAGGGGAGTAATTTATGTAGTAATAAATATTTTTAATATCACATGTGATATTCACTTAAATTATTATTTTTTAAATAAACGATATTTTATTCTTTATAGTTTTCTTTTATTTCATTTCTTGTCGTCACTTTATGTTCTTAAAAGAAATAAAAAGGAATCTGTAAACAATACCGAATTTGTTTGACAGATTGTGTAGACTTATGTTTTACATTTCTTGTGTTAAACTCGAAAAAATTATTATGTTACATAAAACGAATATAAAAAACTTACTTGTTAAATTGAAATTTATGTCTAAATGAAGTATTTTCTTGGATGACTCGACGAATACTTACAAAGTTTCAATGATCGTTTATTTAATAAAATTGTCTCTTTTTTTTTTTATAATTGATGAATGATATTCTTCATAACTAAGTTGTCGGTAGTGATTTATTGTCCACCCAGAAATATATAATAATTTTTAAATTTTCATTGAGAGAAATATATGGAAAATTTTACATTCAAAAAGAAATATTAGAAAATTAAAATTTAAAAAACTTGAATAATTTAAAAAATACATAAATAAATGAAACACATTAAAACACTAATATTTCATATTAAGAATAATAATATAAATATTAAAAGAAAATTAAGATTAATTATCATGTTTTCATTCATTCATTTAAATATATATATTTTTTAATTATTTCTTTTTATTTAGATGATATAAGCCTTTGTAAAATAGTGATGGTAATTTTTTGGATGAAATTATCAGTTGGTCCATGTTCAATAACTGATTGAAGGCATTCCTTATAGGGAAATTGTTAATGATGGTTTGTTTTTTATCTGCAGGATTATAACATAAAAAAAATTTACCGTCAAAAAAGTAAATAAAATATTTTAAATTTATCATGCAATTTTAGTAAATAAATTGAAAATCGTCTATTTGAATACTTACACATATATATGATTCATTTAAATGTTGACAAAAACAATAAAGCTAACTTGAATTGTGTAAATAATTTTAAAAGATTATATGAAACGTTAATTTTATACCAAATATCAATTACGACTTATAATTTGAACATGATAAAACTTTACCTGTGTTTTTATCCATTTATCCGAATAATATTTTACTTGGATAATTTTTTTCCAAATTGGCAATGATGGTTTTTATTTAAATTTCTTATGATAATTTCTCTAGAAGTTATCAGAAGTCGTTTTATTGATAACTCATTGATGATAATTTTTGCTGTTAAACTACCCTCTTCTAAGCGGTTCTTCAATGGTCTAATTTGTTACCTGGGACGTCAGCTTTTTTTTTTAGGGGGTAGTGAAACATCTAGTTCTTGTATCAATTCTCTTTCTGCAAATTTTTTAATCCTGTAACCATAGGAAACAAAACGATTATGAATTAGAGGTAATGAAAAATAATATGGCATAAAAATTAAATATGTTATACCTTTAATTTAAAAATTCGTCGACATGTACCCATTTTGACATTTTCTACGTTTAACTGTGTTCGCGTTTACCATAGTTTGAAACTCGGATAGGCATTGTAAAACCGCATCAAATAATCCTACAACTGTTGATGACGTCATAAATTTAAAATTGTCATTATGTATTATTATTGTTGATTGGATAAATGAAGTAATTATGTACAAAGGCATTACAATTTTTGTTAATTTCATCATCATCAAGTTTAGATATTTTATCGGAAAATATATTTAAAAGTAATTTGTAATCTTTTACATTATTTTCTTAAAGAAGTAAAAAGGAATCTGTAATTTCGAAATTGCTTGATAAATGGCGTAGATTTACGCTTTGCATATATTTGTTTTTCAGCTTGAAAATATAGAATACTATGTAAAATAATTATTGATTTTAATTTGATATATTTTATAAAATAAATATTAAAGACTTACTTGTTAAATTAAAATTTCTTTATCCAAATAATGTATTTAATTTAATAAAATAATGTATTGTATCAATTATTTGTCGCAAATTCTCAAATTCTATAATCATCACAAATGAAATAAAAATAAATTAGAGGTTATAAAAAATAAAATCACATACGACGAAATACTACAAAAATATTGTATCTTCATTTACATTTAATGAAAACTATTTTAGTCAAAATGAAAAGATTCTTTATGATAAAACATCTGATTTTTGTATTGCATTAATTATTTTTCCACAAATTCTTAAATCCTGCAACCATCGGAGACAAAACAATAATAAATTAAAGATTATGGAAATTATTATCACATAAAAATTTTAGAGGTTATGAAAAATAATATCGCATAAAAATTAAAAATGTTATATTAAATACCTTTAATTTGTAAAATGTATTTGTTTCTCTTGGAAATAAATCCCAGTGACGCATTTTTTCACGCAATTGACGACGACATGCCATAATTTAAAAATTCGTCGACACGTACACATTTTGACATTTTCTACGTTTAACTGTGTTCGCGTTAACCATAGTTTGAAACTCGGAAGGGCATTGTAAACCCGCATCAAATAATCCTAAAACTGTTGATGACGTCATAAATATAAAATTGTCATAATTAATATTAGAATTAAGATTATGTAATATTATTGTTGATTGGATAAATGAAGTAATTATATACAAAGGCATTACAATTTTTGTTGATTTCATCATGATGTTTAGGTATTGTTATTGGAAAATATGTTGGAAAATATATTTGAAAGTAATTTGTAATCTTTTACATTATTTTCTTAAAGAAAAAGGAATCTGTAATTTCGAAATTGCTTGATAGATGGTGTAGATTTACGCTTTGTATATATTTGTTTTTCAGCTTGAAAATATAGGATAATATGTAAAATAATTATTGAATTTAATTTGATATATTTTCTGAAATAAATATTAAAGACTTACTTGTTAAATTAAAATTTCTTTATCCAAATAATGTATTTAATTTAATAAAATAATGTATTGTACCAATTATTTGTCGCAAATTCTCAAATTCTATAATCATCACAAATGAAATAAAAATAAATTAGAGGTTATAAAAAATAAAATCACATCAAATTTAAAGATTCTATATTAAATACCTGTTATCTGTAAAGTGTATTTATGTCATCAACGATAATATTTTAAAAATTTCATAAATTACACGATTATATACGACCAAATATTAGAAAAATATTGTATCTTCATTTACATTTAATGAAAACTATTTTAGTCAAAATGAAAATATTCTTTATGATAAAACATCTGGTTTTTGTATTGCATTAATTATTTTTCCACAAATTCTTAAATCCTGCAACCATCGGAGACAAAACAATAATAAATTAGGGATTATGGAAATTATTATCACATAAAAATTAAGATTGTTATATTAAATACCTTTTATGTTTCTTTATAAAATAAATTCCAGTAATACGTTCTTTATGCGATCATCAACGATATTTTTAGAATCTTGAAATTTATAGACATATATGTTTTCTTACCATCATTTGACTGTAGTTGGGTCTATCATAATTTCTAATAATTTGGATGGTGATTTAAGGTAAAAATAACTAAATTTCATTACATTAGATAACAATTTTTAATTAATATAACTTTATGAGACACATTTATTTATCTTTGATTCAAACCATCTCAGTTGAAATGTAACGATTTTTCATGATGATAGTTCCTTTTTGTATTAATTTTGGAGTTTCATATTTACTGAAAATAAAAAACAATAAATTAAAAGACCTGAAAAACAAAAGTATATTCAAAGTTATTATTTTATGAAATTCATTTTAAAATGTATCTTTAATAACTAATCAATGGTAATCCTTATATATTCATTGATAAATTAAAACAATGTTCAATTTTCTTTCTTTCATTATTATAAATTACTAACAATTAAATTTCAGACAAATAATAATCTTAATATGGCAATCAATAATTAATATTTTCATCAGCAAAAATGTATAATCGAAATTTTCCAGTAAATGAAATTTAAAATTGTAAAACTCTACTAAACATAAAAATTCAATCTAAAAATGATAAATATTTTTAAACATGATTTAATCATTCACCTGATATTTCCTTGATATAAAAGTAACTACAATTCTTTCAATGAAACAGTAATTTTCAGTCGACAAAATTTTATAAATTATCTTTACCCATATCCGATTGCATAAAAAGGGAGAAAGCCTCGTATTTTCTGCTTACCGAGTGCTTTGCTTTAACATGAGCAAGATTGGGAGTCTTCGGAATGACCCTGATCGATCGGGATTCAGTGCATGGTATTACTAGCCTTAAGAAGTTGCTAACCTTCTATAGAAAGGGTGGCATTTTCACGAGCGCGCCCCCCTTCAATATCAATACCAATATCCATATCCGATAAAAATCATTTTAAACTAATTATAATGATTCTTGACAATGAAACTTTTAAAAGTTGTGTAATATCAATATATACTTTATAATTTATCTTGTTCATATTCTATATAATTCCATTTTAGGGTAAATTGTGGAATCTTTCTATAACTGAAAAACAAATAGAGGTTAGAAACAGTAATATAAACAATAAGTTTAAACATTACATACCTTTCATTTATTATAGAATATATTAGTTTCTATTTAAAAAAACAATCTTCGAGATATATTCTTTATACAATAGAAGATATCTTTGCTGAAATTTAACATGTTTCCAAAATTTTCTATGGTTAGTGTTTGCAAATTGACATTTTACCATATATGTATCTCTAATAGATTCTTTATGTATTCTAAGGTGGATTTTGTGGTGGAGCATTGCACGCGGCGGTTTAACCTCCGTTCGCTCCCGACAGAATCCCTTGTATTCGTCCTCAAAAGTTTGATATCGGTTTCCACTGTGTGGACTTAGTGTTGTTAGTGTTCAGTGCATGTTTTAAAGTTATAATCGTCGTCGGCCCCGTCGTTTTTCCCCGTTCACGCCGGTATGGAGGCCGGATGGGCCCGGATGGTCCGCGGTGGAAGCGGGGGGTGTCGGTTTTTTTTGGTATCGGTCATATTTGTTTTTTTTGCTAGTTGAGCAAATATTGGTTATATGTCTTCTTTGTACGTGTTGGTCAATGACCAAAAGCGAAGATCCTCGACGGAAGTCGGCAATGGGCGAATTATCCTAGCAGTCTAGCCCAACATTTTTTTGTGAAACGCATACTTCAACTTGTATTCTAAGGTTATAAGAATGCATTGAATAATCTCTCAACTATTAATGACATCACAAATCATCAACATGCCTCAAGAGTAATAGAAACACAGATATTCATTGCGACCTAATAATAAAAAATATTTGTAAAAATTAGGCTTATGTTAGTCTTTTTTTTATTCTAATGTAAAATGTATATGTATTTTTTTTTTCACTTCCGGTTCAACAGGTTTTGTTCTAGTTGTTGTTGTTGTTTGGAGGAGTGTATGTGTGTCTAAATAAAAAAAACACTAAAGATTTTTTTTTATTTACATCAACATCGATAATATTTTTAAAATTAAAAAAAAAAAACTATGGGATTGATGCGGGCAGAGAGGATGCTAAACTTGCAAAATGTTTAAGTTTTTTTCTGCATTCGTCGGAATGAAGGCGCGCCACTTGTAACTCGCTCTGCAGCAGGGCAATTTTAGTTTCAGTCTCTTTGATCTGGTCCTCGTTTCGTACCAGCTGCGACTCTAAAACCATTTTCAACTGGAACGCTTCGCATACCACCCTTCTTTCTTCGTCGTCGATAAACGTATCGAACCAACCGGAGGAGGAGGAGGATGAGCCGGTATGCTGCTGCTGCTGCTGCTGAACCGTTTCTTCGCTTTTTCTTTCTTTTTGTGAGGCTTTGGGGGTGTCGTCGCACTACGACGTGTTTACGCAGGTTGAAGTTTTACACTGTGCCCATTCACGGCCTAAAAGACATGACCAGTCAAACTTCAAAAGGATTAACTTGATGCACCATTAAATCACAAAATCAAGCAACTCCTCTACTTTCGTTCGATGCCATTGTCGTACCACAGCTATGTACTGACAGACCTGCAATCCAATAACGCTGGCAGAGAAAATTTAAAAAATCTGGAGTTGGCTGACCGCAATTACCATATTCCCGGTGTTGTAGATCTTGTAATTGGCGATTAACTGGTCAAATCCTACTCGCTGGACGCATCCCAGGTGCGTCCGGTCATCCATCTGCTTTAGAAACTAATAGGAAAGGTACAAAACTCGTTGAATAATTTGTCGACTGTTACGTCATGTTGCAGCAGTATTGGCTTAGATACTTATTTTCTGAAATTCTGGGAAGTAGAAAACATACCGACTAAGCATCCCGCTTCCCCGGAGGACGAAAGGTGTGAGACTATTTTCGCAAATACGACCCGCAGGAACAAGAGTGGTAGATTTATCGCATCCCTACCCTTTAAACACCCAGAATCTTAGCTTGTTGTCGCTGGAAAACCGTCTTTCTCGAAACCCAGAGCTCTATTCTACGTATCTCGACTTTATGCGCGATTACCTGGAAGATATTTATAAAGGTTCTTGGATTACAATGGAGCCCCATCTCCGATGCTTTTTCATACCATTGCCTACCTGGCCTTGCATGTAGATGAATAAAGGGACATCCAGGCCCACATAACCTCACTTTTTGGCTTCCCGACCACGGTCACAACGCCCATGGTCTTCTTCTTTTTGTGTTCTGGCCATTCGTCCATAGGTCACTCTCCCTAACCTTACCAAACAGTGGTCAGTAGTGCCAACCAAACCGTTGTCTTTGTCCGTTCGCCCGCGTGCCGTTCGGGGACCCCACCGGTAGCCCCCTCGCCATCTCGGGGGGGCTGCCGTGAAAACCCGTCCGTCGTTGAACGGTCACTTTAATGCCGAGGTAATTATGTACCGTCGGTTCCGTCCCGTTGCTGCTAGATGTCACGCGCGCCGTTCGCCCGCGTGCCGTTCGGGGGCCCACCGCCCGCGCGGGGGCGTAGCCCCCGATCGTTGTCCGTGGTGCCAAATTAACCAAACCGTGGTGCCAACCTAACCGTGGTCCGTGGTGCCAACCAAGTGACGCAAACGTCACCGGCAGGGAGGCGTACGTGCCGAAGGCGCGGGGGACAGGAAATAGATAAGAATATCCGTTGATAATGCTATTAATAAAACATCCGGAACACACAATAACATTTCAGTTTAATAATGAACGTCACACCGCCGAGAAATTATTTCGTCTACTCCAAAAAAATCGTGTGTTCAAAGTGTAATTACGCGCGCAAATACAAATATCAGCTATAACCGTATTGGATAAGCAAAGTAAAACTCCTTGACGTGTGTCCAAAGTGTACCCATCCTACAGTGCATCTTGTGAGATACGACACCCGTCATTACTACTAAAATGACAACCAAAAAACGCGTATTCACCTGTTTTATAAATGGTGATGATATGAAAGGAAAACTGGAAGCAATGCAAGGCCAGGTAGCCTGGTACATCGGCCAACAAGAAACAGGTAGGCTTTCGCAATGAATTTTACGCGAACTATTGAGGACGCTCAAAATTTAATTTTTGCTTTTCGTCAAGTGAACAAGGAGCGAACGGAGGTTAAACCGCCGCGTGCAATGCTCCACCACAGAATCATCTCGGTGTCTTCTACGTCTCTTCTTCTTGTTCGAATGTGGTTGTATCTACCATAGATTCAAATTCGGATGGGCACTGCAGAACCGTATTGGATAACGTCGCAACTGTCAATGACGTCACAAATTTCACGTTACAATTAAAATATGTCATATTGGTAATTTCACGAATTAGGCAATTATGTGATATTATGTATGATATTATTAGGCAATTACATGCGATGAAATATTAGAAAATTATTGTAGTTTTTTGGTAATTTCGTTAAGATGTTTAAACATCATTATGCAAAAATGTATCGAAAAAATATATTTAAAAATAATCTGTACTTATCCGCATTATTATTGTTTCTTTTACTTTTTCCTTAATTATAATACTTTAGGAAGGAAAGTAATTTATGTAGTAATAAATATTTTTAATATCACATGTGATATTCACTTGAATTATTATTTTTTAAATAAACGATATTTTATTCTTTATAGTTTTCTTATATTTCATTTCTTGTCGTCACTTTATTTTCTTAAAAGAAATAAAAAGGAATCTGTAAACAATACCGAATTTATTTGACAGATTGTGTAAACTTATGTTTTACATTTCTTGTGTTAAACTAGAAAAACTTATTATGTTACATAAAACGAATAAAAAAAACTTACTTGTTAAATTGAAATTTATGTCTAAATGAAGTATTTTCTTGGATGACTCGACGAATACTTACAAAGTTTCAATGATCGTTTATTTAATAAAATTGTCTCTTTTTTTTTTATAATTGATGAACGATATTCTTCATAACTAAGTTGTCGGTAGTGATTTATTGTCCACCTAGAAATATATAATAATTTATAAATTTTCATTGAGAGAAATAAATGGAAAATTTTACATTCAAAAAGAAATATTAGAAAATTAAAATTTAAAAAACTTGAATAATTTAAAAAATACATAAATAAATGAAACACATTAAAACACTAATATTTCATATTAAGAATAATAATATAAATATTAAAAGAAAATTAAGATTAATTATCATGTTTTCATTCATTCATTTAAATATATATATTTTTTAATTATTTCTTTTTATTTAGATGATATAAGCCTTTGTAAAATAGTGATGGTAATTTTTTGGATGAAATTATCAGTTGGTCCATGTTCAATAACTGATTGAAGGCATTCCTTATAGGGAAATTGTTAATGATGGTTTGTTTTTTATCTGCAGGATTATAACATGAAAAAAATTTACCGTCAAAAAAGTAAATAAAATATTTTAAATTTATCATGCAATTTTAGTAAATAAATTGAAAATCGTCTATTTGAAATACTTACACATATATATGATTCATTTAAATGTTGCCAAAAACAATAAAACTAACTTGAATTGTGTAAATAATTTTAAAAGATTATATGAAAAGTTAATTTTATACCAAATATCAATTACGACTTATAATTTGAACATGATAAAACTTTACCTGTGTTTATATCCATTTATCCGAATAATATTTTACTTGGATAATTTTTTTTCCAAATTGGCAATGATGGTTTTTATTTAAATTTCTTATGATAATTTCTCTAGAAATTATCAGAAGTCGTTTTATTGATAACTCATTGATGATAATTTTTGCTGTTAAACTACCCTCTTCTAAGCGGTTCTTCAATGGTCTAATTTGTTACCTGGGAAGTCAGCTTTTTTTTTTTAGGGGGTAGTGAAACATCTAGTTCTTGTATCATTTCTCTTTCTGCAAATTTTTTGAATCCTGTAACCATAGGAAACAAAACGATTATGAATTAGAGGTTATGAAAAATAATAAGGCATAAAAATTAAAAATGTTATATTAAATACCTTTAATTTAAAAATTCGTCGACATGTACCCATTTTGACATTTTCTACGTTTAACTGTGTTCGCGTTTACAATAGTTTGAAACTCGGATGGGCATTGTAAAACCGCATCAAATAATCCTACAACTGTTGATGACGTCATAAATTTAAAATTGTCATTATGTATTATTATTGTTGATTGGATAAATGAAGTAATTATGTACAAAGGCATTACAATTTTTGTTAATTTCATCATGATGTTTAGATATTTTATTGGAAAATATATTTAAAAGTAATTTGTAAACTTTTACATTATTTTCTTAAAGAAGTAAAAAGGAATCTGTAATTTCGAAATTGCTTGATAAATGGCGTAGATTTACGCTTTGTATATATTTGTTTTTCAGCTTGAAAATATAGGATACTATGTAAAATAATTATTGATTTTAATTTGATATATTTTATAAAATAAATATTAAAGACTTACTTGTTAAATTAAAATTTCTTTATCCAAATAATGTATTTAATTTAATAAAATAATGTATTGTATCAATTATTTGTCGCAAATTCTCAAATTCTATAATCATCACAAATGAAATAAAAATAAATTAGAGGTTATAAAAAATAAAATCACATTCGACGAAATATTACAAAAATATTGTACCTTCATTTACATTTAATGAAAACTATTTTAGTCAAAATGAAAAGATTCTTTATGATAAAACATCTGATTTTTGTATTGCATTAATTATTTTTCCACAAATTCTTAAATCCTGCAACCATCGTTGACAAAACAATAATAAATTAAAGATTATGGAAATTATTATCACATAAAAATTTTAGAGTTTATGAAAAATAATATCGCATAAAAATTAAAAATGTTATATTAAATACCTTTAATTTGTAAAATGTATTTGTTTCTCTTGGAAATAAATCCCAGTGACGCATTTTTTCACGCAATTGACGACGACATGCCATAATTTAAAAATTCGTCGACGCGTACCCATTTTGACATTTTCTACGTTTAACTGTGTTCGCGTTAACCATAGTTTGAAACTCGGAAGGGCATTGTAAACCCGCATCAAATAATCCTACAACTGTTGATGACGTCATAAATTTAAAATTGTCATTATTAATATTAGAATTAAGATTATGTAATATTATTGTTGATTGGATAATTGAAGTAATTATATACAAAGGCATCACAATTTTTGTTGATTTCATCATGATGTTTAGGTATTGTTATTGGAAAATATGTTGGAAAATATATTTGAAAGTAATTTGTAATCTTTTACATTATTTTCTTAAAGGAAAAGGAATCTGTAATTTCGAAATTGCTTGATAGATGGTGTAGATTTACGCTTTGTATATATTTGTTTTTAAGCTTGAAAATATAGGATACTATGTAAAATAATTATTGATTTTAATTTGATATATTTTATAAAATAAATATTAAAGACTTACTTGTTAAATTAAAATTTCTTTATCCAAATAATGTATTTAATTTAATAAAATAATGTATTGTATCAATTATTTGTCGCAAATTCTCAAATTCTATAATCATCACAAATGAAATAAAAATAAATTAGAGGTTATAAAAAATAAAATCACATACGACGAAATATTACAAAAAAATTGTATCTTCATTTACATTTAATGAAAACTATTTTAGTCAAAATGAAAAGATTCTTTATGATAAAACATCTGATTTTTGTATTGCATTAATTATTTTTCCACAAATTCTTAAATCCTGCAACCATCGGAGACAAAACAATAATAAATTAAAGATTATGGAAATTATTATCACATAAAAATTTTAGAGGTTATGAAAAATAATATCGCATAAAAATTAAAAATGTTATATTAAATACCTTTAATTTGTAAAATGTATTTGTTTCTCTTGGAAATAAATCCCAGTGACGCATTTTTTCACGCAATTGACGATGACATGCCATAATTTAAAAATTCGTCGACACGTACACATTTTGACATTTTCTACGTTTAACTGTGTTCGCGTTAACCATAGTTTGAAACTCGGAAGGGCATTGTAAACCCGCATCAAATAATCCTAAAACTGTTGATGACGTCATAAATATAAAATTGTCATAATTAATATTAGAATTAAGATTATGTAATATTATTGTTGATTGGATAAATGAAGTAATTATATACAAAGGCATTACAATTTTTGTTGATTTCATCATGATGTTTAGGTATTGTTATTGGAAAATATATTTGAAAGTAATTTGTAATCTTTTACATTATTTTCTTAAAGAAAAAGGAATCTGTAATTTCGAAATTGCTTGATAGATGGTGTAGATTTACGCTTTGTATATATTTGTTTTTCAGCTTGAAAATATAGGATAATATGTAAAATAATTATTGAATTTAATTTGATATATTTTCTAAAATAA